ATTCTTTTGATCTACATCAAAGTGTCGCGCAAGTCTACATCAACAATGTTGCGCGTACAGAGACTTATATTTCGTGAGGGGTGCAGTGTAGCGTACGAAAGACGTGACCAGATTAATGTACTAAGTACGTGAGGGGTGCAGTGTAACATAGGACAGACGTGACCAGATTAATGTACTAAGTACGTGAGGGGTTCAGTGTAGCGTAGGACAGACCAGATTAATGTACTAAGTACGTGAGGGGTACAGTGTAGCGCATGACAGACGTGACCAGATTAATGTACTAAGTACGTGAGGGGTGCAGTGTAACGTAGGACAGACGTGACCAGATTAATGTACTAAGTACGTGAGGGGTGCAGTGTAGCGTAGGACAGACGTGACCAGATTAATGTACTAAGTACGTGAGGGGTGCAGTGTAGCGTAGGACAGACGTGACCAGATTAATGTACTAAGTACGTGAGGGGTGCAGTGTAGCGTAGGACAGACGTGACCAGATTAATGTACTAAGTACGTGAGGGGTGCAGTGTAGCGTAGGACAGACGTGACCAGATTAATGTACTAAGTACGTGAGGGGTGCAGTGTAGCGTAGGACAGACGTGACCAGATTAATGTACTAAGTACGTGAGGGGTGCAGTGTAGCGTAGGACAGACGTGACCAGATTAATGTACTAAGTACGTGAGGGGTGCAGTGTAGCGTAGGACAGACGTGACCAGATTAATGTACTAAGTACGTGAGGGGTGCAGTGTAGCGTAGGACAGACGTGACCAGATTAATGTACTAAGTACGTGAGGGGTGCAGTGTAGCGTAGGACAGACGTGACCAGATTAATGTACTAAGTACGTGAGGGGTGCAGTGTAGCGTAGGACAGACGTGACCAGATTAATGTACTAAGTACGTGAGGGGTGCAGTGTAGCGTAGGACAGACGTGACCAGATTAATGTACTAAGTACGTGAGGGGTGCAGTGTAGCGTAGGACAGACGTGACCAGATTAATGTACTAAGTACGTGAGGGGTGCAGTGTAGCGTAGGACAGACGTGACCAGATTAATGTACTAAGTACGTGAGGGGTGCAGTGTAGCGTAGGACAGACGTGACCAGATTAATGTACTAAGTACGTGAGGGGTGCAGTGTAGCGTAGGACAGACGTGACCAGATTAATGTACTAAGTACGTGAGGGGTGCAGTGTAGCGTAGGACAGACGTGACCAGATTAATGTACTAAGTACGTGAGGGGTGCAGTGTAGCGTAGGACAGACGTGACCAGATTAATGTACTAAGTACGTGAGGGGTGCAGTGTAGCGTAGGACAGACGTGACCAGATTAATGTACTAAGTACGTGAGGGGTGCAGTGTAGCGTAGGACAGACGTGACCAGATTAATGTACTAAGTACGTGAGGGGTGCAGTGTAGCGTAGGACAGACGTGACCAGATTAATGTACTAAGTACGTGAGGGGTGCAGTGTAGCGTAGGACAGACGTGACCAGATTAATGTACTAAGTACGTGAGGGGTGCAGTGTAGCGTAGGACAGACGTGACCAGATTAATGTACTAAGTACGTGAGGGGTGCAGTGTAGCGTAGGACAGACGTGACCAGATTAATGTACTAAGTACGTGAGGGGTGCAGTGTAGCGTAGGACAGACGTGACCAGATTAATGTACTAAGTACGTGAGGGGTGCAGTGTAGCGTAGGACAGACGTGACCAGATTAATGTACTAAGTACGTGAGGGGTGCAGTGTAGCGTAGGACAGACGTGACCAGATTAATGTACTAAGTACGTGAGGGGTGCAGTGTAGCGTAGGACAGACGTGACCAGATTAATGTACTAAGTACGTGAGGGGTGCAGTGTAGCGTAGGACAGACGTGACCAGATTAATGTACTAAGTACGTGAGGGGTGCAGTGTAGCGTAGGACAGACGTGACCAGATTAATGTACTAAGTACGTGAGGGGTGCAGTGTAGCGTAGGACAGACGTGACCAGATTAATGTACTAAGTACGTGAGGGGTGCAGTGTAGCGTAGGACAGACGTGACCAGATTAATGTACTAAGTACGTGAGGGGTGCAGTGTAGCGTAGGACAGACGTGACCAGATTAATGTACTAAGTACGTGAGGGGTGCAGTGTAGCGTAGGACAGACGTGACCAGATTAATGTACTAAGTACGTGAGGGGTGCAGTGTAGCGTAGGACAGACGTGACCAGATTAATGTACTAAGTACGTGAGGGGTGCAGTGTAGCGTAGGACAGACGTGACCAGATTAATGTACTAAGTACGTGAGGGGTGCAGTGTAGCGTAGGACAGACGTGACCAGATTAATGTACTAAGTACGTGAGGGGTGCAGTGTAGCGTAGGACAGACGTGACCAGATTAATGTACTAAGTACGTGAGGGGTGCAGTGTAGCGTAGGACAGACGTGACCAGATTAATGTACTAAGTACGTGAGGGGTGCAGTGTAGCGTAGGACAGACGTGACCAGATTAATGTACTAAGTACGTGAGGGGTGCAGTGTAGCGTAGGACAGACGTGATCAGATTAATATACTAAGTACGTGAGGGGTACAGTGTAACGTAGGACAGAAAGGACCAGATTAATGTACTAAGTACGTTAGGGGTGCAGTGTAGCGTACGACAGACGTGACCAGATTAATTGTAGCGTAGGACAGACGTGATCAGATTAATGTACTAAGTACGTGAGGGGTGCCGTGTAGCGTAGGACAGACGTGACCAGATTAATGTACTAAGTACGTGAGGGGTGCAGTGTAGCGTAGGACAGACGTGACCAGATTAATGAAATAATTACGTGAGGGGTGCAGTGTAGCGTACGACAGACGTGACCAGATTAATGTACCAAGTACGTGAGGGGTGACCAGACTAATGTACCAAGTTCGTAAGGCGTGACCAGACTAATGTATTTAGTAAGTAAGATGTGATCAGATTAATGTACTAAGTACGTAAGATGTGACCAGATTATTGTACTAAGTACGTAAGACCTGACCATATTAATGTATTAAGTACGCGAGATGTGACCAGATGAATGTACTAAGTAAGTAAGACGTGACCAGATTAATGTACTAAGTAAGACGTGACCAGATTAATGTACTAAGTAAGTAAGATGTGACCAGACTAATATATAAACTCCGTAAGATGTGACCAGATTAATGTACTAATTACGTAAGATGTGACCAGATTAATATACGAAGTACGTAAGACGTGACCAGACTAATGTATTAAGTACGTGAGGTGTGACCAGAGGAATGTATTAAATAAGTAAGATGTGACCAGACTAATGTATTAAATACGTAAGATGTTAACAGTGTACGTGAGGTGTAACAAGATTAATGTACTACATACGTAAGAACCTAGAATTTCGAGGATGACTTTCCCAAAGCTAAAGATAAATATACTTTTTTCAAACCTAGCAATGAATATACAGACGTGACCAGATTGATGTACCAAGTACGTGAGGGGTGCAGTGTAGCGGAGGACAGACCAGATTAATGTACCAAGTACGTGAGGGGTGCAGTGTAGCGGAGGACAGACCAGATTAATGTAGTAATTACGTAAGATGTTAACAGTGTATGTGAGGTGTGATAAGATTAATGTTCTTCAATGTAAGTAAGTAAGATGTGACCAGATGAATGTACTAAGTTAGTAAGATGTAGCCAGACTAATGTATTAAGTACGTAAGATGCGACCAGATTAATGTACTAAGTACGTGAGATGTGACCAGATTAATGTACTAAATACGTAAGAACCTAGAATTTCGAGGATGACTTTCCCAAAGCTAAAGATAAATATACTTTTTTCAAACCTAGCAATGAATATAAATGTATATTGTCCTATACCTAATAATGAATGTATTTGTGGTTGATTTCTCTTACGTTTAGTTTGAAAATACAGCTAATGTGTCATGGGATTTATTTTGTATCAATTTCGTTTACTTTTTTATGACTATTACAATCTAGTCAGCCATCCGATTTGGTATATATCATCCTATTGTCATACAAAGCATCTGTATAAATAAAGCAATACGACAAAGGTTTACACACAAAAAAGTATTTAATTGGAACAAAACAACTGAGAAATTTAAAAATAAGAACTCAGCTTGTCTCCGATTACCAAGAAAATGTTTTATAGATACCAATCGACGATGTCAGGTGTGTACAAAGAGAGGCAACTCCATTTAAATTGACATCTAAAAAAGACACCATGCTGTGCATGGTAACATAATATATAATAAAATAATTCGAAATAAGGAAGAAATAAAAATCGTGTTTTTCAGTTTAATGACTTTCAATTCCTTGCATTTTGAAGGGAGGTATGTGGTTTTTTTAGTTCACTCGATATCTTGCTTACGCTCCAGTATAAGAGACAACCTGATATCCAATCACAAATGTCCTTGTCGACAACTTCTGGGGGATAAATCAAGAAGATACATAAAAAAACGCATACAGATTGGTGAACACTTTGAACACTCTGTGGATTTGGCATGTGAAAGTTTTTTGAAGGAATGCCAATGGAAATCAGCAAGAAAAATCAGAATTGATTGTTCTGGAAGAGTGTTAATTTGTGAATGACCATAGAGAGATAACATATAACACTAACAGTCTCTCAGAAACATGGAAAATTACTGAGGAATTATAGTATAGAAGTGCATAAACGATTCAAAATATGAGTCAGTTAACTTGATAGCGAGATAACTATCATGATAAATCGACTTGATTATCACGACAAGACCGCTCAGGGATATAAGTATCTCGAATCAAATTAACTGGTGGCAGAAATTGTCGCCATACATCAGGAAGAAAACAATGAAAAAAAGTCTCGGGAGCTATATACCAACCCGAAATTCACCTTCAGGAATGTTATCGAGCATTTCATGGAATATGCCGTTAGGTACATATTTTTGATAATATCAATCATCTTTATTGATTAAAAATGTGTATGTCTTCTCGCTCCTTAAAAAATGTTTTTGAAAAAATCATTTTAACATAAATATGTAGCCGGGTTCAGGTGCTACACAAATTCTTACAAATCACGAAGAAGCAAATTCCTAGTTATTCAATCGTTTTATTGGAGTCGAAAGACCCTGCAATAGCACAAATAAAACGTATAAGCACATATTCAATACATAAAAGATCTACATTATACAATGGACATAAAATTAGCTTTACATAAAGATACACCATACCCGTAACGGTTGCAATTATTATTACGAATTTAATACAATACATTTGAAACACTTGTACATGATAAATTATAGAATTTACCAATTTTGCACATGAACTATGATAATTACGAGATAATTAAATAGTGCCTTATATTAACAATACCTACCCTATCGCTCCGACAGGGGTCTAATGATGATAGCTCTACGTATAATATACGTTGCCTACATAATAGGTCTATGGTTCTGTTGAAAAGGAAAATAACAAAACTTAATATATAGTAAACATGTTTAGCAAATTACTTTTAAAATACTTTAGAGTGAATTACAGTTTCCATAAAAAGATAATGGAAACCACACCCAAAAATACGTTTATCAAAGACAGATATTTTAACTTCTTCAAATATTTTAACAAATGCAAACATACTAATTCCATAAAGGTTACTCTAAAATATAGTATTTCAAATAGCTCAATACTAATATGTTTCATACACTTACTCTGAAATTAGTAGAGTTCTGTTCACCGCAGTCGGTATAATATATGTCGGTATAGGTTTCTATGTCTGGTCTGGTCTCTGTCCAGTGCGGGAGTGAAGATACAAGACGTACAAGTGCACGAGCTGACATGGGATCACGTGACAAGACATTTACATAACAAAACAGCACAGGTAACAAACACGTTGACCAGACAAACGGTTGAACGAGTAGGAGAATCGGTATATAAAAATAGTTAAGTACGTCAGACATACGTACAACTTAAGCATTCTCACTTAGACAATACTATATAGTTTAATAATTTGAATTAAACTCTTATTACAAAATAACCTAAAATACAGCACTGCCACAAATATACGGCTCATTAATCTCGGTTGAAGATACTTTCTTCCAGAAATTGATACCTGGAGTTTATCTGCTATAAGATACTCTAGTTTGGAGATATGTAATACAGATACCGATGTCTTTATTGAATTTTCTTATTTCAAAGACAATGTTTCATTGGTTTAAAGAATAAAAATGGATATTTTACACGTGCATTATCGAATGAGAACGTACCTTAACTCACATCATTTGATAAATTATTACTGACGATATATTATATTATTTAATTTTTAATGTTAAATCCCTACAATTTCGAGCACTATGCACATCAAAATATTAACTGTCTAACTTTCTTGTCATCAGATATGTCGGTTTTTACTAGAGTATAAAAGGGATATTTTAGTCTGATTTCATACCTACTTTAAAATAATCAAAAACGTGTACAATTATGGGTAACCATATCCAATTGAATTGAACCTAGGTACAAATACAACAAATCCTCAATTGAATTGAACCTATCTCCAATTGAATTGAACACATCTTTAATTAAAATGGACATGTCTTCAAATTTGAATACAGATACAAGTAATTGAATATAGAGATCTATGTTAATTTGGTGTTCCATACAAGTGTGAGGATGGTACTATATTTTCACCGAACGGAAAATGTTTTTCCTGATGTTTGGATCACCATTTTCAAAAGAACTCCTTGGGGAAATCCGGGGTATAGTGCAAATCAGAGACAACTATAGATTTTCAATACAAATGTTGACGTTTGAATATATAGAACTAAGTGTCAAGACCATATTACTTCAACTTCAACAGGATACTCTAAAACGTTCAATATACTGAACACTATTTAGAGGCGTCAGAGAGATCGGTTAAAAACAAGTATTTTTATTTTTATTTTTAGAACTATATGATAAAAACAACATGGACGCTTAGAATTTGTGAGAGAGGAGATTTGCCTTCAGTGTTGAGAGGTCTGCACTGTCGGCGATGAAGGTTGGGAGGCTGTTCCAGGTACGAATTGATCTAGGAAAGAATGAATTTGCATGATAATTTGTGGAGCTATGTGGAATCTGGAATTTGTGTTGTTAGGTTCGCTGGAGAATTTGGAGGTTGCCATCATATGCCACAAGGTCGTTTATGATTTTATATAGTAATATGGTGGAGGTCATTTTTTGGCGTTGTTCAAGGGATTGCCAGTTCAGGGTTTGGAGCATTTCTGTAACACTACTGGTGTAGTTATAGCACCCAAGGGTGTACCTGGCGGCTCTTATCTGTACCATTTCAACTTTATGGGTAAGGTTTGCCTGCCATGGATCCCAGATGGGACTACAGTATTATATATATATAACACTACATGTAACTGTTCTGTTTCACTGTGTCTTGAAAAAGGAGCGGAACGCTCCGAAAATTTGACAACCTAAACTTCAGTGTCCTCACTGTTGGAATTACTTCTTTGCCCCATATATAACACTATATACAGATTTTATTTTAATTGTAAGAGTGTACAGTACTTAACGGTAATAGACTCAAACTTTTTTACGATGATGTGCTGCGTAAATGTCTAAGCCTGGTGTCAGGGCCACAGGAAACTCGGGCTGCCGTGACCAGAAACATGTATGCATCTCTGTCTGTGGCCACGGACTTAGATAGCACATTCCGGTGCTATGTGACATAAAAACAAATATGATGCATACCAAAGACATATGTAATAACACGGAATATTAGATTGCTATCTAAACTCGTGCATGGTTATCTAAGTCCGTGATGGTAGTATACACGTCTCTATACTTAATAAATATTAATTATTCTTGTTCAACTTTTGTAATTAATAACAAATGCATATACAAGATAAATATTTTAATAATACAGTGTTTCGGTATGACGAAGTAGCTTCATGATAATGAAGACAATGTGCGTAAAGAGTTTGACAATCCGTCGGAAAATTCTTGGAACAACGCCCCTCTTCTGCGAAATTTGATGTCATTGAGGCTACGCGCAAAATTTACCACCAGGCGTCGCTACGGTTGATCAATGGAGGAAGTTTGGTGTAGGCATTGCCGTAGACTGTCATCACCTGTGGATCCACACCTGACAGCATCATCAGGCAAGTTACAACCCGATGGTCACTTTATAGCACGTTATTCCAATATTTTGCGAAAGGCCACATTAGCTGTCAAAGATATATAGAAGTAAAATACTGCTCTGTTCCTATGTAGGTCAGACATTTTATAAATTATTATATTTCATTATGGCTGAATGGCTTATAAAAAGTGTGTCAGTGGTTGGCTGGTGGTATGTTACATAATTAGGGTGTTAATACACTGTTGCTAATTAATCACTTGTATGTCAGGAGTTAAATAACGCCATTGATATCATCATCATGGTTTTTGTCGATATGTATCTGCACTAAAATGTGCTGTCAAAACTGCAATGTCTATATTACATTTTTTTGTGTATTACTTAAGGCTCCTTTGCTTTAACTTAAGTTTAAGGTCATATTGAAAAAAAAGGAATTTTAATAATTTGTACATTAGCTAAAATGTTCGATAGTTAATGTAGTCAATAATTAGGAATTAAGGCTGATGTCTTCATAAAAATAGTTCACCAGACTCATAACATGTCAGACTCTTTAGCGACCTAATATTTAAATGAATGCTTTGAAACGACATTTATAATTTGAAGTTCATTTATACCCCTTGGTCATACAGAGACTAATAGAATCTTCCACACCCTTGGGATGAGATAGGGGAATCTCAACCCGAGAGGGAAGATTCTTAAGTTGCCAAAGGCTTTGCCAAGTGTTTGTCAGCTTAGATGAATCTCAACCCTCGGGGAAAGAAGGTTGAGATACACCTATCTCACCCACAAGGGGGTGAATGATCCTTTTTTTCTGACCCTGTTCAGTATTCACCCATGGTGTATCATATATATATATACAAAGTGTAATGTTAACGTCACAGGCTAAATTCAGGGATGACGTGGCGTTAATGAATTGTTGACGTGACGTCATGGTAATGTTGAAGTGACGTCATACCATTGTTATGAATAGGGTGAGACAAGGAAATCTCACTTCTGTAAAAGTGCGGATACACCTGTCCAGGGTAAGAGAATATTTTTTCATGAGCCTCGAATCATTGTCTTATCATAGGTTATAGGTAATTCCACATGTTATATATTTCCACACAACCATTTCTTCATTTTATGTCTCATACTACGTGACCTGTTTGACATACACAAGGATATATTTTCCATCGTATGGCAATGCCACTATATAACCCTACCAAGTCCAGTTGACATTCATTTAGGCTATGAATGCCATGGACTGATTGTCGTTGTCATCATTATTATGACGTCATAATTGTTTGTTGACATCGGGCAATAACCGTTCTATTCATTAAACAAGGTTACATACATTATTTGAGCTAAATTCTGAAAAATAATTAGCGTAATTGAATTTTGTATGAGAGGCACTCATAGGCAAGTTGCAACATGTCAAATTTCTTCCACTGCTGAAGCGCGAAGGAGCATTCTTTTCTCTTACCCTGGACAGGTGTATCCGCACTTTTACCGGTGTGAGATTTCCTTGTCTCACCCTAGGGTTGAGACGGGCGGATTCCCCTATTCATAACAATGGCATGACGTCACTTCAACAATACAATGACGTCACGTCAACAATTAATCAACGTCGTCACCTCAACCCTGAATTTAGCATGTAACGTTATCATTAATTACATTGTGTATATGATACACAATGGGAGAACAGGGTAAGAGAAAAAGAATCATTCCCCCACTTGTGGGTGAGATAGGGGAATTTCAACCCTCAGGGAAAGATTCTTAAGTTGCCAAACACTCGGCAGAGCCTCGTGTTTGGCAACTTTATAATCTTCCCCCTCCGGTTGAGATTCTCCTATCTCGCCCCCAAGGGGGTGAAAGATTCTATTATTCTTTTACCCTGGACAGGTGTATCCACATTTTCCCGGTGTGAGATATTCTTTTCTCCCACCCTTCACAGGTGTGTCTCCTGTTTTAGCCGGGAAAGGTCAGCTTGTCAACCCCTAGGGGGAGATAGCCTTGTGCAGATAAGCACGTGTTAAATTGTGTCGTTATAAAAAGTGTCACCAGTAAAAGTGAATGACGATATTCATACCCCACATTTGTTTTTGTTTACAAACATGGCAGAGTTGTGACTGAAATAATAGGATGGGAGAAAAAATAATCATCCCCTACCTTGAGGGTGTGACAGAGAAATTTCCAACCCTCAGGGTGATTTGTTTTGGGTTGTCTAACCCTCGGCAGAGCCTCAGTTGAGACAACCAAAAACATCATCCCTTGGGTGGGAGATTTCCTTTTCATACCCTCAAGGTAGGGGAAGATTCCATTAAGCGATAATGTCACATCAGCCCTGAATTTAGCCTGTAATGTTAACATTATATTCTGTATATGATGAACAATTGTCAAAAAAGGTAAGAAAAAAAGAATAATTCATTCTCTTGGGGGTGAGACAGGGGAATCTCAACCCTCGGGGAAAGATTCTTAAGTTGCAAAACACTTGACAAAGTCTCATGTTTGGCAACTTAAGAATCTTCTCCCCTCGGATTGAGATTCCACTATTTCACACTTAAGGGGTGAGAGATTCTACTAATCTCAGTGAACACTGGACACTGTTAGCAAAGAAGTATAAATATTGTAGTAGTAGGAACTTAAAACTTTAATTTCAAATGTAAAAGAATGATACATATTTACCATAAAACAAAACCGATATTCAACGTTACAAAAA